TATATATATATATCATATATTATATATACACATGATCGGTATGTTGTACAGATTGTAAAGAAAGACATCAACAGAAATACAAACTTAAAAACATTTTAAACACACAAACATTGTAGCACTACAGAGATATGAAACTAACAAAAATGTTATCTTATTATGGACCGAGCCTATTGTTTTTGCTATGTTTCTTATTATTATTTTTCAGCACTTCGACTGCATATTTTCCCCCCTGAACATATACAAAAAGTCGATTTTATTTTAGGTCTAGACCTGCTCTATTTGAAAAGTGTCCTGATATAATTGGCGCTATACAAATAAAACTGAATTGAATTAGGTGTGTGAGTTTGAGATTGTGATGCTACAACTGACACATTCTTATGTAAATCTTGGACTCACACTCCCTGCTGTGAAGTAAATTAAACTTACTCAAAACTATGCTGATTTAAAGTTTATATACAACTGTGGTGCATGTACTCGAATTTACTCGTGAAATATGTCACATTTTGTTCCTGTGGTTGAATGAGTGACTTGCAAGGGAAGCATTACTTAATCATTGTTATACAGTGTCCACGTGATTGTGGGGACAGCTGTGGACTCTTTCCAGCCTCCTCCTGGCTTTGTAAATATTCGACACTGGCCGATCCGCACCCGCTCAGTGACGTGAACTTTCAAGACGGCCAGAAGGTGGATCTCAATACAGAACTGTTGGCTGTAACTAATTGAGGCCATATTTTCATATTGCTTGTACAGTGTGCCCTTTGCTATAAGTAGTATGTATTATTGTTGATATAAAAAAGAGATGATATATTGAGAATAGCTGTTATATATAAGTGTTTAAAGGAATAATACCAAATGGAAGATCTCGTTGGTGGAGGAGATTGAAATACTTACAAAATGGTTAATTCTGCATTCAGAGTGTAAACGCACTGAACCTTTTGGTACCGTAACAGAAAGGTCGGCACTGACTAGTGTGGCCGGTTACATAACAGGAAGGTTGTGTAACAAAAACTGACATTTAAGGACACGAGTTGATTTCTAAAAAACGCCTCAGTGTTTGGTGTGTAACACAAACTGTGTCTCTGACTTCATGAAGAAGAAGAAGAAGAAGAAGAAGAAGAAGTGTGCCGTAATCCACACCTGTAAGTTTTACCTCGTCCATTATCTTCATCACCACACAACTCCTGTAGTGTCTGTTGATCCTGTGTTGACTAGATTGTATGTGGTCGTTGTTATTGTAGATATTCGGTCTGTGCATGCGTTTCTCAGACAGCTGCTGTGCCTGCCTGGTTTTTAATCTCAATAAATGATGACTTTTTTTTATTTTGGAAAATAAGAAGAGTGATTTATTGTTAATTTTGCTTTATTTCTTTATACCAGCTGTACATATACAATCAACCATGTTATCAACAAACCCATTAAACAAATGGTGCTGCTACTATTGTCAGACATATGGAATAAAGCAACAAGTTTTCAACATTTAATGAGGTCTAAAAAAGCTCTTCTACACCAGTGGTTGCCAACCCAGTCCTCAAGTTCCTCTATCTTGCATGTTTTGGATCAATTTCTCCTCTCTTTCCGCCCCTCCCTTTGATGTGCACTGTTCAGGTAGACCTGTTTCTGCTGCTCAACCCGTCAGCATTAAAACCGTCATGAGAGAAGACGTGATAAAGTAGAGCTGCAAGTTCTGCTGTCCTGCATGTTAAGGACTGTGTTGGGAACCACTGTTCTACACTGTAGGAAGGTTGTAGTAAAAGAAACAGATTAAATGTCCAGTTTTAATAATCTTTCTATCTATTTTTTCAACATTTGATTAAATATGTTATAAATTAAGATAAAGTTAACTTAAAGCTAAAATCAAAACACTCTATTTACTTTGTCTTGATGGTACAAATGGCACTAATAATTAAAATATTTGAACTAAACTAATATTTTAAAGCATCCTGTCAAACAAAGTGAATAATGTAACATTATACCTTTCCAGCAAGAGTAGATGTTAATTAAAATAACAATGAGATTTAATAGCAGATGAAGTGGAGTCTGTCCTCACAGTCCCAGTTCTCCCAGTGTCCCCCTTTGGTTAAAGCTCCACAGCGTTTCATCATTGGGCACAGGTAGTCCTCTCCTCCTCCTTCTGCCCAGTCCTCATACACCAGAGGGTCTCCGTCCACCCACAGCCAGCGGTCCCCCAGGAAACGCAGCCCGATCCACACCCGCTCAGTGATGTCGTCGCGCTGGATCTTTCTCAGCGCCTGAAGGTTCTCCGTCTCAGAGACCAGGCTTGTGAGTGTAGTGTGTGTCTGACAGTGTAACAGTGCATTCTCCCAGGTCTTCTTTTCTTCCACCAGGATCAGGTTGAAGCATAAAAAAGGCCGCTGAAATGACTGTATGTTATACCACCCAAACAAATCGCAGCCCTGCCAACAAACACCAGCAACAGATTGGTACGATACCCCATCTTGTCTACCCTCAGCCCATGGTACATATGTTGCATTTCCTCCTCCTGACCACTTCCACTGTGTTTCATCTCAGTAGAGGCCAATCCAGACCCGATAAGGGATGCCTTCTGCTGCGGATTTCAGCCTTTCTTTATCCCGAGGTGAAGAAACGGAGGAAAGATCAGTGTGGTGTTCTCTGCAGTACTGCTGAGCCAAAGGCCATGTTAACCATTCTTTCACTAATACGTGCTTTCCAAACTGCCCCGACACACTCACAAGTATTACAAGTATTTTCAAAACCACAAACTCCATGGTGGTGAAGTTTACAGATGGTCGTTAGGATGAATACAAAACAAATGGTCAGTTCAAGGTGAAGCCCGTGTTTCAGTGTGGTCCCTCCGCTATGATCTCTTCACAGTGAACAAAACACTGTGAAGAGACAGGTCCTCGGTTTTGCCTTGGAAATGAACTCTAATCTGACCAGGTGAAAGGTTTTGTGAAGCTCTTTGGTTAAACAAAACCTTCGTCACCTAAACATGAACTCCGACTGACATTAATGTGTATGTATGTGTGTGTGTGTGTGTGTAAATGTAATGCATTAGTGTGGTATTGTAAATGTCAAGAGAACCAAGATGGGTGATGTTTGTTACACTTAATATCTTAATTCTTCTTCATTTCCTCAGTACAACAAAAGTTTCATAATGCAGCCAAGTAAAATAATCCAGTTTTGAGGCAACTGAGGCAAGCACTTCAGTGTGTATGGCGCTGCTGTAGTTGATCCATTGATTGCCTCTTATTGAATAAGATCATCACACTTCAAAGCACCTGGCATTAAAGTGAGCAGGAGTATGACTTCCAGTTACACCTCAGTTTCCACACAAATCCTCAAAAATGAATTGATCCTCAAAATCTGTAAAGCAGGATAAAGTTGGGACAGAATATAATCATTAAAATGGATTATTGACCATAAAAAGCTGGCATCTTCCCCCGGGAATCACAAACCACTGTGGTACTGAAGGCTCCAGATGAATTGTGTGTCAAACGTTTTTCAAAGTAACACAGTGGCAAAGGTTTAAGGACGTGTTGCTGTGTACAGGCCTCAGTGCAAACACAACACAAAAAGTAAACAACGTGCATACAAATGTGCAATTGCAAATGTTTGAAATGCTGGTTTCACAAACAATATTTAAAATGCCACCAGTGAGGTTAGCTGTACTTACAAATGTCCATAAATAAATAATAAATAGGGGGAAGATCCCAAACCAGCTCAGGCATTAATGAGTCTGATATAACTGAATAACTGACTGTTTTGTGGACCTGATGTTTCCTCAGAAAGAAGAAGCGTTGCTGACATTTGGAGAAGATGATTTCAGTGTTGTGAGTTTGTGGTCAATTGTGGTGCCAAGGTATCTATACGCCTCCACTCCTTCTATAGCCTGGCCATTGACCTCCAGTGTAGATGTGGTGAACTGTCCACGACGGAAATACGTGACCAGCTCCTTGGTTTTAGAAGCATTGAGGTCAAGGTAATTCCCCCCACACCACCACCATCTCAGCCAGGAGCTTCCCTTTGGAGTTAGTGGTACCACAATGACGTGTTGTCGGAGCATGTAATGTATGTTAGTTCTGGCTCAGAGCTTCTGGAGTTATCAGCGTATAGCTGTTCTCTACAGCGAGAGAAGAGCACAGGATTACTGACCCCTGTGGGGCTCCAGTGGGGATGGTGCAAGTGGCCATTATTTCTGACCACTTGGTGTCTCCAAGTCAAAAATGAAAGAACCCAGAGAATAAGATGTGATAAAAATGTCCATTTGAAGCAACTTCGTCCTATAAATTGGGTTGCATTGTGTTAAAGGCAACACGAACAACATTCTAACAAATGCCTTGGGCTTCTCAAGGTAGGTATAGGCACGGTACAGCAGTGTCAGAACATCATTAAAACCACCCCTATGTGTTTGGTTCCACAAACTGAAGGGCGTCAGTACTTCCCTCTGTAGCTGGGAAAGAACAAGCCTCTCGAAGCTTTTCATTACCAAAGATATTAAGGCTACTGGTCGGTAGTTGTTATCACAGGTAGGGTTGCTTTGTTTGGGTACTGGGTGGATAAAAGTGGATGTCCAGCTTGCAGAGAACGTCAGACAGTATACAGCGGCCATAGATCTGGTCCTGGTGCTTTGTTCTGTGGTGTGTTTGAACTCTTCAGGCTGCAGTTCCAGGTTTGTAGTGGTTAGCAACATGTTAGCCAGGTCAGATGCTAGATCCTACCTCTCCAATGTGAAGTTGTGCTGCTGGTCAAACCTGCAGTATAAGTCGTTCACATTCTCTGTCATGCTGACACAGTCTTTTGCCTCAGGTCAGGGAATAGTCGAATAGTTATTCGGGAGTTAATCCTCACCAAGCCTCTCTTGCTTCTCCACCTTCTCCTTGTAGACTCTTTTTTTCTTTTAATTATTTATTCTGCTTGATCTGGATGAGCTGGATTCAGTCTGGTTTCATGAATGAAATGCTTTTTGTTGAGAGTGACTTTGAAGGCTTTTGTGATCAAAGGCTTGTTGTTAGAAAAAACCTTGACAGATTTTGTGGGGACTATCATCTCCTCATAAAAGGTGATATAGTGCGTGATGACATCAGTAGCCTCTTTTAAGCTTCTAAGTTAGCACATCCTGTGTCGCATACTTTCACCAGTTTCTTATGAGTTTCTTGTATACATTCTGAACATTTCCATAGCAGAGGTCAATTGTTTTATCGCCCCTGGTGGCGCATGTGTTGTACTGCGGATAAATTGGGTGTTTTTTGTGTTTTTCAGAGTTGAAAAGTGGTACCAGACGTCTTTAAATGTCTTGTTTTGTCCAACAAACTGTGGAAAACAGCAGCTTCTTACTATTTTGTTGGATAAATGACTTAAATGATTATTTGATTCTTAAAGATGTTTTATGATGTTGTTGAGTCAATCAATCATTCATA